TGAACAGGTGCTTCTGGGGTTGCTCATGATGCCAGGAATTAAAGAGTTTGCCCTTGCTTCCTTGGGGTGAACTAAAGCACTTCAGCCTAGCATTTTATTGCCTGGGGAGCAACCGAAGACAATGCAGATGACTCTCTATTTGGTTTTCAAGTAATTTGGGGACATCTTGTTGGAGATAATGAAGTGTGAGACTGAAGTTTGAAGGATGGCATGGATGAGGGTCTGTATCCTGATCCAAGGAGGTGAAGTTCGCAGGTTCCCTTGTTTCATCTCTCATTTTATGGACGTGTCGCTGCAGACCGCACTGCTGAGCACCAGACGCGCAGCACGGCGGCTGGAATTCTGGGCACAGCGACATCGTGTCATCTACATGAGAAGGAAAGATGTTTTTTCTTTTCATAGAACTTTTAGGATGTATCACAGACTCGGCCGTGTCCCCATGTCGTACGTTGCACCTCAGTACTTCCTTATCTTCTAGCTGGGAGTTTGTACCACTTGATCCCTTCCTCCAATTCCACACCCCCTCACTGTGCCTCCAGTATCCACAAATCTGTTCGCTTTTTTCTTGAGTTTGTTTTTAAGATGCCATTAACAAGTGAGATCCCAGTATTTGTGTTTCTCTGATTTCTCCGTTGGTACAATCCCTTCGAGGTCCATCCACGTTGTCACAAACAGCGGGACTTCCTTCTTGTTTTATGGCTGAATGCTATTCCCTTGTGTGTGTACTACGTTTCCTTCACGCGTCAGTGGAAACTCAGGCTATTTCCTTATCTTGGCTCTTGTGAATAATGCTCGTGCTGCTCTGAAAACGGGGTGCGGGTGCCCCTTCAGTGTCGGTTTTGCCTCCTTGGAGTGAAATGCTGGATCACATGGTACTTCCATTTTCAGTCGTTTGAGAAACCTCTACACAGTTTTCCACAGTGGCTGCACCCAGGTACCTTCCCACCAGTGGTTTCTCCCCATCCTCACCAGCACCTGCAGTTTCTAGTTTTTGAGTTCGGACATTGTGACAGAAGTGCCTCGTATCTCCCTGGTGAGGGGTGACGTGGGGCACCTTAGTGTGTACGTGGCCTTGGAAAGGTTCCTATTCAGATCTTTTCCCCATTTTAAAATAGGATTATTGTTTTGTTGTTATTAAGGTAGAGTTCTTTATATATTTTGGATATTACCACCTTATCAGCTATATGGTTTGCACATTTTTTCCTTATTCTGCAGGCTGGGGTGTTTGTTTGTTTGTTTTTTCATTTTGCTGGTCATTTGTCCTGTGCAGACTCTGGTTTGGTCCCAGTTGTGTAGTCTTGCTTTCATTGCTTGTGCCTTCCTTAGGTGTCACACTCAAAAGGCGTCACCACGACCCATGTCAAGGGGCTTTGTCCTGTTCTCTTCTAGGACTTCCATGATTTTCCAGTCTCTTTTTCTTTCCTTCAAAAATTTTTTAAATGTTTATTTTTGAGAGAGACACACACACAGCGTGAGCAGGGGAAGGGCACAGAGAGAGGGAGACACAGAATCTGAAGCAGGCTCCAGGCTCTGAGCTGTCAGCACAGAGCCTGACACGGGGCTCGAACCCATGAACCGTGATCATGAGCTGAGCTGAAGTTGGATGCTCAACCAGCTGGACCACCCAGGCGCCCCGTATGGTTTTCCAGTCTTAAATTTAAGTCTTTAATGCATTTCTAGCTAATTTTTGTGAGTGCTACAAGACAGTGGGCCAGTTTTCCCGAAAACTTTTACTGAGGAAGCTTGTCTTTTCTACACTGAATGTTAATGGCTCTCATTAGGTACTGGGTGACTGTGTATAAGGGTGTATTTCTGGGCTGCTCGTTCTGTTCCCTGTGTGTCCTTGTGTCTTTGCCAGTGCCATGGGGTTTTATTAGGCCAGCTTCGTAATCCAGGAGCGTGGGGCTTCCCACTTTTTCTTTCTTAGTGGTTTGGCTATCTGGGGTCTTTTGTGGTTCTGTACACACTTTTAGGATTGTTTGTCAAAAAAAAAAAATACCATTGGAATCGTTCAGGGATCACACTGAGTGTGTAGTCAGCTTTGGGAAGTATGGAGATTTGGGCAGTATCGCTGGAGTCCGTGAACAGAGGATACTCTCTCTCTCTTTCTGTCCTCTTCACTTTTCTTTCGCCAGTGTCTTGTAGTTTTAGAGTAGTGTAGAGCTCTTGTAGTGTAGAGCTCTTTCACCGGTTGATTAAATTTATTGTTAAGTAGTTTATTGTTTTTGATGCTGTTGTAAAGGGGAGCATTTTATTTCCTTTTTAGAAAATTCACTGTTAACATAAAGAAAGGTTACTGAATTCTGAATGTTCATTTGCACGCTGCAGATGCACTGAAGTCGTGGATTAGACCTGACAGTGGTTTGCTGGAGTCTGTGGGGTTTTCTGTATATAAAATCATGTATTCTGCAAACAGAGACAGTTTCACATAATCCTTTCCAGTTCTGATGCCCCTTCCTCCTTTTCCTTGTCCAGTTGCCCTAGCTAGGACATCCATTGCTAGGTTGAACAGGGGTGAGCATCCTTGTTTCGTTTTTGATCTGAGAGAAGCTTTCAGCCTTTCACCAGAGTGCGATGTTAGCTGTGGGCTTGTCATTTATTACCTTTACTCAGTTGCTCTGTTCCTTCTATACCGAATTTGTTGAGTTTTTAATCATGAGTGGGTGTTGCATTTTGTTAAATACTTTTTTTTGCATCTACTGAGGTAAGATTGTTTCCTTTGATTCTTTCATCTGTGAAGGACTGTGTTTATCAACTTGCATATTTGAACCATTCTCACATCCCAGGGATAAATCTCACTTGACCTCGGCGAGGGATTCTTACAACGTGCTGTGAAGTTGGGTCTGCTAGTATTTTATTGAGAATTTTTGCATCTATATTCATCAGGGGTACTGGCCCTTTTTTTTTTTTTTTTTTTTTTTTGGCTTGAAGTGTCCTTTTCTGGCTTTGCTGTTAGGATAATGCGGGCCTTCCTTGTAAATGAGTTTGGGAGTGTTCCCTCCTCTTTTAGCTTTTGGAACAGTTTGAGAAGGATTAGTGTTAATTCTTTTAAAGTGTTCGGTAGAGTCACCAGTGAAGCCCACTGGTCCGGGGCTTTTCTTCCTTGGGAGACTTTTGATTACGGATTCAGTCTCCTTCGTAGTAATAGTTTGTGCAGATTTTCTATTTCTTCCTACTTCAGTCTTGGTAGGTTGTATGTTTCTAAGAATTTATCCATTTTTTCGAGGTCATTTAGTTTGCTGGCGTATGTTGTTCATAGCTTCTTACCATCCTGTGGTCATGAGCTATCAGCTGTCATGTCTTCTGTCTTTTACGTAAAATTTTGTTCACGTGGCTCCTGTTTTCCTTGGTGAGTCTAGCTAAAGATTTGTCGGTTTTATGTTCTGTATTTCGCTTATTTCTCCTCTAATCTTTACCGTTTCCTTCATTCCGCCAGCTTTGGGCTCAGTTTGTTATTCCTTTTCTAGCACCTTGAGACACAGTGTTAGGTGGTTTACTCGCAGGCTTTCTTGTTTCTGTACGAGCTTCCTCTTAGCACAGCTTTTGCTACATCCCCCGGGTTTCTGTATGTTGTTTTCCATTTTTGTTTGTCTCAAGATTTTTGTTTCCATTTCTCCTTTGATCCGTTGGCTGTTCAGAAGAATGGTTTTTAATTTCCAGGTGTTCCTGAGTTTCTCGCTTTCCTCCTTTAACGATGTCTAGTTTTCTACCACTGTGGTCAGAGCTCAGTCTGTGGCATGGGCGTCAGGCCCACAGAGCCGTGCCCGGCCGGCCGTGGCTGCACACAGTTCCACCTGCCCCACCAAGTCACACGGGCACTCACTGCCGGCTCCTCTGCTTTGTGGGTCTATTGCCATCTATCATCTGTCCCTGTAGTTCCATGTGACTTCTGCCTCTTCCAGTGTCACCTGTCCGTAGAGACCCCCATCCTCACTGCCTGAACCCAGGTCTTCAACAGATCTGTGAACTAACAAGGATTTGATGTCCCACAGAATGAGCCCACGAACTCTGACCTTCCTGGTAAAAGAAGCTTTTGGCTTCTGGGGAGGGTGAGGAACGGCCAGGGCACACAGTAGAAAGACTGAAAAGTTACAAATGGAAATTTATTAACGTGAAGTTGATACAGAGTCGACAGGGAAGCTGAGAACAAAGAGGACCCCGGGGCTGGACAGCACTGCTGCTGGCTCACGTCCCCCCTGCCTGGTGACCGCAGCACGGGAGGACGTAGCCGTCTCCCCAGCTCATCTGCACACTCTGAAAAGGCCTCCTCATCGAGAACAGTTCTCCCATGGGGCGGCCCCGACCAGCTCGCACCCACATTTACACTCAGGATTGGGCTGGACCCTCTCGGGGCTGCTGGGCCATCGGGTCACCCAGCAGGTTCGTTAACGAGCCATTTTCTCTGTTCTCAGATACCGTCGGAAGCCGTGGCCATCATGCAGCCTCTTGGTCCAGTGTCCACAGTCACTTTATGTTACATATGTAACATGTCAAAGTATCCGAAAGCTAGGTCTGCCCCCTAGGAGTCCCCCTCTGTTCCCCTCCACTCACAAACAAGAGAAATCCAGGCCCAGCTCGGTGAGTTCATGCACAAGGCACCTGCTCAGGGGACCTGCCTTTTCCTCCATTCCTTATTAACACAGACCTTTGAGTCTGAGGTGCCAGGCATTGACTGAGACACATCTGGACTGGGACAGACTCAGTAAAGTGACCTCCTCTCCAACCCCCTCCCCGCCCACCCCAGCCTGGTATGGCTGTCCCAACATAGGACTGTTGGCCAGCCTGTTCCGGCGCGTGGGGGAGTGACCCTGGCGGCCTGGACGTGCTGGTGGCGGGTGCCATGTGTGTGACCTCTGTGGTCACCTACAGCCAGGGGGAACTGCCCGTGTGCAGACACGGCGGAGGAAGGCAGGCCATGCTGGTTTCTTTTCTAACTTCAAGCTCCATGGTTACGGTTTATTTACTACCTCAGATTTTCTCTTTTTCTAACCTCTTACTAGGTTCAGGGAGCAAGTTTCCGAGGCTGGAAGGAAGTGACTTCTCTGTTTAATAAAGACGATGAACAGCACCTGCTTGAAAGATGTAAATCCCCCAAGTCCAAAGGGTAAGTGTCCGTGGGTTCAAGTGCTATGGTCTCCAGGGAGGCAGGTGCCGCGGGTGACGTTACCTCAAAACTGTGGTCCGTCCCTCCGACTCGCGGGCAGATAGGAGGGTTTCCTTCCCCGGGGAGTAGACAGAAGTGGGTTGTACTAGTTTTGACACTCAGGAGACAAAACGAGTAAAATGTTTTTCTGGGAGAAGGTCACAAGGGTGGCTAGAAGGACCTTTTGAGAGGTTATGGAAAAGTGGAAGAAGGCGTTTCCTCAGACGAGCTCTTGCACTCAGAATTGTAAGTGGAACGCGTTAGCCTTCCAGGGCCTGTAGCCGTGCTGGAGATATTCTAGCTTTAAAAAATCAAGGGAAAAAAGTTAAAAATGCAAAGGACTGGTGAACTGTAAAAGATTTTGGAAAATTGAATATATTTAAACTGACACATTGACGTTTACTGTACCTGAAATTCTAAAAAGTGTATTTAAACACGAAAATACCAAATTCAGCGACAGCTGAGTGGTATTGCCAACGGCACGTCTGATTGTGAGGGGAGTTTCTGCGAGCCGGACCGCAGGCCAGGTGCTCGGTTGAGGCCCGAGGACGCCTGGGCGGCACCCTGGCTGTGACCTCTCCGCACGCTCCTGTGGCTGGACTGTGTGCACGGGCCCCTCGGTCCAGTCCGGCTGTGGGACCAGCCCGCAACGCACACATCCTGGTGCTCCGCGCCGCCCCCCCCCCCCCCCCCCCCCCGCCGCAGCGTCCCATCTTTATGGGGCATGGTTTCCACGAGTTCCCCACTCAGCGCTTCAGCCAAGCCTGCTAAGTGTGATAAGCCTTCTGAAGACCGATTTGATGAGAGGAATGTCCATCCCTGTGTTTCTGAATTTGACCCCGCGTTTCTTGTTGCACTCAAAACACTCGAGTGTCTCCCTGGGAGCCAGCTCTCTGCCTGTGTGCCGCCTGGCATGTCTTCTTAAAATACGGCCTTTGGTTTCTCTGACGTGTAGGGACTAAGTTTTCTTTTCTGACTTTCAAGTTTGACACTGCAGGTTTGTGTTCCCCTACTAAATGATTTAAAGTTTTCACCAAAGAATGTTCTGTGTATACAGCAGACCCTGCTTGAGGCCCTGAGGGCCGCGGCCACCGACACTTGCCCTCTTGTCTCCCGCAGAGCTAACTTACGGTTGAGGGAAGAGCTGAAGACAGAGAAGAAATCGGGATTTTGGGACAATTTGGGTTTAAAACAGAACATACAGTCGAAGAAGCCAGATGAGATCGAAGGCTGGGAGCCTCCCCGACTTGCTCTGGAGGACGTGAGCGCTGGGCCGGGCGACCCCGCGAGCGGCCGCCCGTCCGGGCCGGGCTGGGAGGAGGGCGCTGGCGGCTGCAGCAAATACACCAGCCTGGCCAGCTCGGGGAACAGCTCGCGCTGGAGCCTCCGGTCGGCCGGGAAGCTGGTTGGCATCCGACGGCAGAGCCGAGGCCACCTGACCGACGACTGGGAGGAGCTGGAGTGACCTGCGGGCACGCCGCCCCCCAGAGGGGCCCGCGCAGCCCCTCTGGTGGCGTGCGGGCTCTCGTCTGCTGATTCCCGGCGTGTCCGTTTGCGTCGGGGCGTCCGGGCCTTGCGTGTGGACGGCGGGGGCTCTCCTCTGCGTGCCCACATTTGGACTGTCCCCCTCCGCGGGCTTGGCGGGGGCCCCCAGAGGGTGCGTGTGCGTCCGAGGCGGCCCCACGACAGCCCCCACAGCTTGGCGTCCGGCCGCGGAGCCGCCTCGCGCGGTCTTCATCATGTCCCCCGCCCCCCGCATGTGGCATCCGTGCGCCTCTGTGACTCTCGAGACCGTAGCAGCCGCGCCGTCCTCCCGTCAGCAGGAGTCCGTCATCCGGGCACCAGACCCGTCTTCCCGAGGTCACGTTCAGTTGCATTTAACCCGGTTAACCCAGCAAGTTGAACTTCTCATTTTAGATACCGGGAAAGCAGAGGCTACGTTTGGTCAAGCGTGAAATGCCACCACGTGCACACGTCTTTGTCTTGTGCCCTGGGAGGAGGGGGTCTCGTGTGCGTGCTGGGTGGTGGCTGTGGTCTCGACCCGCGTGCGTGCTGGCTGGTGACCAAGCGTGCCTGTCACTGGTCCTGAACTTCATGGCTTGATCTTCACATTCTCTGATTGCAGGTTAAGGAACCATAAAGTGTGGATCCGTTCAGCCACTGAGTTTAGACACTCTTGTGTTTGGCAAATCCCGACTTGCTGATGGAGTTTAAACTGTATAAAACACTGCAAGTGCCTCTCTGTGATGTCCAGGTGTTGGGTGTTCGAAGGGAGGCCACACAGATCTCCACAGCAGGTGGCACTCCAGTCTGTCTTAGGTAACATGGTTTGAAAGAAAAGGCATAGGGGTTTTTTGGGTTAAAAACAAAAACCTCCAGTTACACTGTGCATACCTCTCGTGAAAAACACTGTCCTCCTCCGTGCTGCTCATTTAACCTTCTTGGGGGTCACAGCGCGGGCCTGATGGCAGGACTCCCAAGGGGGAACAGTGTCCGTCTGTCCTCTGTCCATGTAGCTGTCTTTCTCCCGTCTTGTGCTAACTGAACAAGGAGCTTACCTGACCAAGTCTGGAAAGGGGGGCACGTTTTAGTGGTGTTTAGTCCAGTTCGTGTTAGAACCTTGAAATGCCGGGGGTTTCGCGTTGCAGGGAAAGCCTCGTTTCCTCAGGTAAATGGGTCGGTAGCTAGGCCGCCACCCCGCGTCCCCTCCAGCTATGCCCACGGTGGCGGGTTTATGCAAGGATTCTGCAGCGGGAGCCAGAGGCCCGGGGAAATAAACACTGTCCGAGGCTCTGCGAAGCTGCCTCGTTTGGG